TGTAGATGCTTTACTTCTGCTGAGAATTGCTGCATAGACAATCCCCAAATTTGAGTTCAAGTAAAATGAAGCAGATCAAATTACATGACATAAGTTTCCTGGTTCATGGTATAGGTCCCAGTTTCAATGTATATGGTATATCCGATTGGACATTAGCTAATTAATGAATTGTTCTTTGAAAACTACCTTTTGAGATCTGTTGTTTTAGAATTTAGATTGTACTGTAGCTTTTAAGGAGCTGATTACTGAGTGGAATGAAACTGACCTTTAATATGTGATTGGTTGGCTTAATTTCATGGGAAATGACCGGAAATGTCCAAATGAAGAAACAGCTCAGTGTTTGGCCATTTTCTTTTCCCAGAAGATTCCTTTAATTGATTTAGAGCCTAGCTTAGTCAAGTAAACAGAAGTGCATTCTACCTTTCCAGGTAGCCATAAGAAAGACAGGCAATGGTGTTCCCTGCTGTCCACCCATTTTCTGGGTAGCCGGTTCTGCCTGAAAAGCAGTTTTGCTTGGCAACCAAATAGATCCCTAGGGGATGTTTTGTTTGGGGAAAGCTCCCCTTCCCCCTTACTTTGGAAAGTTGAAGAGTATTTTTGGTATTTAGTTACCCTGTTTTTTTTTTTATCAGCAATAAATTATTTATTTATGTGAGAAAAGGGGTACTTAAACCCTTACATTTGATACCCCAATAAAATAAGGGGTAAAATTGGCATTTTCCCAATTTTCTTTTTATCACAATCCCCCATGTAGGAAAACTTTCCTTCCAATTTCAGGGATTAATCTCCCACCCCCATGGTTAGCCTTTTGGCCTAGTTAGGGAATGCACCCATTTCCCTGGCCATGAGCTGCAAGGATGTCTCCTGCCTTTGTAGAGTTACTCATCTCCCAAAAATTATGACCACTTGGCAAGTTTTTTGCAAGAAAGTGTAATGTCAATTTCTTATCAAAACGTAGGAAAATTGATAATTTGAACAGAATTTTCTTTCAAGGGCCTTGTTTGGTTAGAGGCCAACGTTTACTTGGAAAGCGGTTGGACTGTATTGAAAGTTGGTAAATTTTGTAATGACGTTTTGTTGGGTAGTTAACTTTTTTGTGTTTGGTAAGAAATTGACATGTAGACAAATAGTAAGCGGCTCCCACATAGAGTATGTTGTGGAAAACTTTTTCCATTCTAAAAAAGGTGGAAGAAAAGCTTACAGGTAATTGTGTGAGGGAAAATAAAGGCTAAAAATGCCACTTTACCTCTTTATTTATTTTAGTTTTAAGGTACATAAGTATCAAAATATCCTTACAAAATCTTGGAGGGGAATGTTTCCTAGGAAAGTATACCAAAACACTCCCCAAAGTTGCCAACTTTTCGAACAAGTTTCCCAGGCAAAACTTTCCAAGGGGAAATTTTCCCTTTTAAAAAATTGTTCCATATGAGGGAACTTTCTTAATACTATTTCCTGGATGCTGGATCTTTGTGAACACTTTTTGCTATACTAGTATATGCATCACTGCCAGACTTATGATGAAGCATCAGAGAAGTTAGAAAAATTCCTTTTCAGGGATGTATGGTATAAATCAGGGATGCTTGTATCAGCTTAACCAAAATGAATTTTATACACAAATAGATTCCTTTTGTTGTGGTAGCTTTGTCTATCTCATATTCTTAAGGGGGAATTATTTGTTTCATTTTGGAGTTCTGACTTGCATTGTATGGAAAAGGATGGAATTGTCATCCTTCATCTCTTTGTTGTATCTTGAGATACTTGACATAACATCCTTCTTTTCATCATTGGTGATGATCCTCTGGTTAATAGAGACATATTGGATCCTTCAGGTCATATGGTTTTTTATTAGTTAAGTTTCGTTCCATTATTTCTACACTAAGGCAGTAAGCCTGCTTTTGCGAGGACAGTCATCTTCAGTGATCCTAATTACTCCATATAGGGTTACAGTTGAATATGCCAGATCAACATTGATCGAATGGATGAAAAACTTCAACTTTACTAAATGTGCAATGGAATGAGGAAATGATTGGTAGGCATCTCTTTGGGATTTCTCTAGCTGAAATAGAAGAAAAGACTGAATAATACTTGTGCAGGCTGGGCAAGTGAAAGGTTCTATTACTCTCTTTTTTTCCTTTGCTTTTGGTTAGAAAACTGTACTTGCTTTTATGCTGCTGCATGGTGGAATCCTCCCTGATTTTTTTTCCTGTTTGGTTCTCAAATTTCCTGCCATTTTTACTTTTCTTCAGTCTTCCCCCTTGTTTCAATGCAACCAAATGTAATATGCTGGTGTTTGTTTCTCCTTAAATTCATCTAACAACTATTTATTCCAGAGTTTCTATTCCATTATCATCAGCAGGTCGTTTTGTAGCTTCAACATTATGGAAGTAGAGGCATTAGACTTGTGATTCCCCATAAGAAGGGTAAACTGACAGTGTTGGGATGTGGAGACGTCATTTTTTGCTAAATGTTCATTGGTATTCAACATAGTTTGCTTCTCTTGGGATCCATATTCATGACTAAAAGACGAAACTTCTACAGGCCCTTGAGTTTATCCTGCTTAGACTCAAGAATCCAGATTGATGTTTAAGTCAGCATTTTTGTTCTTGGGGGCGATGGCAATGTGCATATGTTGCTGAACGTGTTATTTTATTATCTCCTAAACATGAAGTAGTTTGATATATTTGAACTCTCAAATTTCTTTTCTTGAATTTTGAAAACTCTAGCCTAATTATTATGTTGCTTTTGTTTTTTTCTTATTATTATTTTTTGTATTTTCTCTCTGACACGGATTGTTTATTCACTAAAACAAACTGATCTGCAGCATTTTGTTTTTGACCTCTTTTATTTGAGATTGGATTCGGAGGTGGATCCTCTTTTCAAGATAGTATGTACAGCTTTAGTGGTAAAGTAATGCATTTTTGATCTCGCTGATCTATTTTCACTTTGCATTGACAGGATGACTTGACAACCACACTTGTACAGCAGTGTCGTCAGTCCCAATCAACTGTTATGAGGATCATTGAGACTGCTGGAGATAACGAGGCCCTGCTTTTTGAAGCTTTGAATGTGAATGATGAGATCCAGAAGGTTCTCTCCAAGTATGAAGAGTTGAAGAAACCATCTGCAGCTCCTCTAGAGCCAGAACCAGCAATGATTCCTGTGGCTGTTGAGCCTGATGATTCACCCTGCTATGCCAAGGAAGATGCCTTGATTAGAAAACCAGCAGGTTCTCGAGGTGGAACCCATGGTGGGAACAATGATGACATGATGGATGATCTTGATGAGATGATCTTTGGTAAGAAAGGTGGGACCACATCCGAAGCTGTCCAAGACTCAAAGAAGCAGCAAGCACCAAAAGATGATCTCATCTCATTCTAAGGTGTGCAATATATATACATTCCCAGAATTTAGGATAGGAGGCCTATATCAAGCCATTTAGACACTGAACAAAAAGTTTGAATTTGATTACTTATAACAGGATATCTGGACTTTTTATTTTGCATGCTTTCAAATTGTTCCTTCCTGCACATCATGTGTAAGTAATTCATGTTTGGATTTGGTTATATAATTGTGTGGAGTACATACATGGATTTGGTTATATAATTGTGTGGAGTACATACACGAAGGTTCTACTATGAACATAATAAAGTGGTGTTTGATATAATATTATAAGGATGCCTTACTGTGGTTCTTTTTTTCAAATCATTCCTCGGTCTGGATGGATTGTTCGGATTCTAAGATTTACAAGTATGAAATCTAAGATAAGCATAGAACCTTCCTTTTCATTTTAGCGTGTTAGAAATTTGGTTTTCATGCGGCTGGCAGAATAAAAAAGGGTTTTGCCGTTTATCTTGCATGTATTACATATCTTACAAATATTAATGAAAAAGAACCATCTTCATATCAATAGGCTTGCTTCTTATTACTGATTGTAAGATATGTAATCCTTAACTTTTTTATTTAGTAATGCTATAGTTATAATGTCATTTAAGATTATAAGTTTATAACATAACATGATATTAAATGAGTATGAAATGTTCGTAAATAACTGAATATATGAAATATTATTGGTGAACTTATAAATAAAAAGAGTTAATTATAAAAGGACACACTACTTGTGAATTTGCAATGTCATGCTATTGTAATTATAGCATTTTCATTTTTTTTTAGAAAAACAAAGATTAAAACCTCCTAGGGAAAAGAGGGAAAAATTGTAAATAAGAATACAAAATGTCTTTTTTTATTTAAGTTTATATTTTTATAAGATTTTAAATTCAGGCAATAAACTTTTATTTTTTTAAAATAAGGATATAAACATTGTGTTTTTTTTTTTTTTCATTTATTAGATGGTAACAATGATGCGTCAAATGGGAATATTAATTGAAATAGGAAAAACTTCATATCCTTAATAGGAAAAACTTCATATTCTTAAATAGAAAAAAAAATGAGTTTACAATCTAATTTAGAAACTTGAAAAGCTTGTATCCTTAAATAGAAAAAATGACAAAATTAACTTCATACTCTTAAATAGAAAATTAAAAAAAAAAGTTTGTATCCTTAAATAGAAAAAAAAAGTTTATAGCCTAATTTAGAAACATGAAAAGTTCATATCCTTAAATACTTAAATAAAAAAATGACAATTTGTATCTTTATCTAAACCTTTTCACAAAATTCACTTTATAATTAATATTATAAAAGTCAACCATAGATTAAATATTCTATTTATGCAAAGTATAAATGTCAATTTTCAAATTGATGTAACATTTATAACCCTTTAATCAAAAAAATTTTATACTAAGATATATTACACGATGTTAAATTTTTGTGTAATCAACCAACTATTTAGGTACACTAGATTAATTTAAAAATTAACATGCATGATCTACATAATTAACATATATTATATTGAGTTTGAAGGGATGTTTGGGTATCTCTTAAAATCATGAATTTTTTCCCTTCTGTATTTGAATTATAGAAAGATGGACTCTTTTGAATGAAAACCTCATGTTATAAGTGAGAAATTTGAAATTAGTTTGTTGTTTGCAACAATGTGGCATGATAATCTACCCATTTTGGGCATTGGGCTATGTTGTGAAACCAAGCCTGCCTCGACTTTGTCAATTAAACTCAACTTTGTGATGAAAACGAGTCAATTACATACATTAACCCATTTTGATGAAAAACTTGCTTAAACCTACCTTGCTTGCTAAACTTACTTGACTAGTGACACATGAATAGGGCATTTCAATGTTTCACTTTATTTTTTATTTTTTATTTTTAGTTCATTTTACCCATTTAGTCTTTCTTTTCTATTGTTATTCCATTATTAACCTTAAATAAAAAATTAAATGTCATGCCTTAAAACCGAGAGCAAAACAGACACTGTACACTTGTGACAGAATCCCACAAATGTACAAGGTTCAAAACTTGCTAAATTTATCACTAATAGTCCACATAACTTATATCAATATTTCAAAATAACATTTAACTTACAAAGAATAATCTACAACTCAAAATCTACGTTCAAAATGCAATGGCTAGCCTTCTAGCTCGTCACTCCCCTTGGTTTTCCCGCGACTTTGGTTTCAATACTTGAAATGGTGGACGAGGAAAAACTATGTGAGATAACTCAGTAAGTAAAAATATAAATAGCCTTCACTGAAATTTTAAAGCATGCCAAGTAAATATTTTAATTTCAAACAAGAAGAAAATCATAGTTATAAATCATTTATGGATACTGAAATCTATTTAGTGGTCCCCTCAATTGGTCATGGCCAATGTACTCTCCCAACTAATAGGATAATAGAAATACCAATGTACTCTCCCACTGGCTAGATAGTAGAAAATGCCAATGTACTCTCTCACTAGCTGGATGAACCGGCCCTATAGAAATACCTGTCGACATGTGCCAGTATTGAACTCCCACTGGCAGGATAATAGAATTCATGACCATATTGGAGACAAAACCATGCGGGAGTTAATAATAAAATTCAAAATTCACAAACCAATTTTAGATTTCTAGAACAAACAGAAAACTCCATGTAGGCATGCTTAGTTTAATAAAAATAATAACAACTTTCATTTCAAATCAATCATGCTCAAGTGGTAATAAAAATTGGGTTAGATCTCGCCACCATTTCAAAACAATTTAAAATATGCTTTTACAAGCCTTTACCTTAAATCCAAGAACATTTACCATAATTTTTACTTATCTCGCCTTGTAGATATACAACAGGCAAGGAATTCAATAAGTTAAGGTGCTTGAGGCAATTTAGAACCTATGCCACATCAAAGAAGAAACAAGATTACAAAATACCCCATTTAACTAAATTAATTTCTAATTTCAATATCAAGTTTCTTAACCGAAGAAACAACTTCTTCTTACACATCCTGATCACTTCTACCCTTTTAAAATGGCTCCAAAAAGACCCTACATTTGGTGGTTTTACAAGGCCGATTTACAGGACAAAACAAGGTGGAAAAATATGAGAAACCAAGCTCAAATCAACCCCAAAACAACAACACAAAGGCTGAGCAATAAGGTGGGGATTTTTTTTGCTATTTAAAACAATCCCAAAATACTTGGAAAAAGCCCTAAACAACAGAAATTTTCTAGGCAAAATAGCAAGGATTTATAGGCAAATAGCAACAGCATAACAATGTTGAAACAAGCCAAAACTAGGCAGTATTCAAGCAAAAATGTAGTAGCAAAAAAGCAACCAAAACAAAGAGATAACAAGGGGTTTTAGAGTAGGAAAACAGTAGCTAAAAATCTAGAAAATCATATGCAATATGGCAGTAGATAGAGTGGAAATGAAACAAAAAATTGAGCAAATTTCTGGCAAGTTCTGGTCAGATTTCGTGTTGGAATTTCCTACAGAATTCATGCCCAGAAATTGATTGATCTAGTTTGAGTGGTCAACAGATAAATTGTAACCCTATGTCTTAGAGTTCTATAGCCTCAAGAATTACCTTAATGCGACATCTATAGAGAGAGTTATGGCCAAAATACTAATGAAAAGTTGGGCTACCAGTGTAGTACGCTTATAGGGTCCGAAATTGCAGCAGAGTTTTCACCTTAAAAACAGCTGAATTGGGTTAAATGTCCAACATAAAAATTGTAGGGTTATCTCTTAGCTTTCCATAGAATCAAGAATGAACTCAAAAAAATGTCTACAAAAAGAGTTATGGGTAAATTACTACAGAAGGGTCATGTAGTCCGAATTTCTAGCAAGTAAAGGAAATCAGTTTCTAGTGGTATTTATCATGGACAAAATCAAGGGGAGAACTACAGAAAATTCTCAAAATTAAAAACCCTAAATGATTAGAGCTAACCAACTTCAATCAAGGATGAAAAGATGAGCAACAAGGTTGATTTCTTAGCAGAAGATACCGGAAAATGGTGATCTCTCATTGTGGACAGCAAATCCAACACAGATCGAGAGATTGGGAGGTTGCAGCAACTAGATCTGGAAATTTTGAGCATCATTTTGGAACCATAAACTCGTTTATCTTTAACCCTTGCTAAGAGAAGGAAGAAAAACTAAGTTCTTACCTATTATTTCGGCAAGAAGGTGTTGGCGCAAGGCAAAAGGCAAGGGCTTGGGGAGAAACACGCAGAATTGGGTAGAAGAAAAAGGAAACCAGCCTTGGCCCCTTTTTAAATCACCAAGTTTCACTTTTAATGCCCCCGAGGTTTGTAATTTTTGTAACCATTAGAACCAGTAATAATAATTCGTCCCATATAAACCCCTAACTTAAATTTAAATTCACTTATACTAATGTATTCATGTATACATGTATACGTCTAAAATTTCAGAAATTTTGGGATATTACATTAAACAACAAAAATAGAAAAATCTAAACCTTAACACTTTTTTTCCTTTCTTATCTCAGTTCTCACTTCTCTCAAATTCTCATGATCAACTCCAACAACCAACCACCACTCACTGGCAATGCACTTGTATTCACTAGTCATCATTAACTTCTCCCCACTCTCAACCACCTTTATTAGCAACTTTGCTACTCTCTTTCCTCTTTTCTGCTCATCTTCTTCACACCTCATCCGTCATCTCCTCGCGCTGTCCTTTTACAACTATTACCTTCCTTTGCAGTTTGCAAGTCCATATTTGATATTGTCTCTAAGTCATACTTTGCCTATGTCTGCTCACCTCTCTTCAGTCCTTCTTCTACATTCATAAATCATATCTTGTATCTTGCCTCCATAATCTGCCTAAATCTCCTCTCATTTGGTGAAAAAAGAAAAGAAGAAGCTAAAGATAAAAACAAAGGCTTTAAAACTATCCATGAATGTTTGTATGGCGCTTGAACTTATATAAAAGAGGCTTTATCTTTTTTATTGTAGTAGTTGTGTTTAAATTAACTTGATTGATACAACTATCATCGAGCAAGCAACGATGAGCTATCAAAAGTTCAAAATAGTGATTGATATAAAGTTGTCTATGAGCATAGCCTCTCTTCAAGGAAGAGGCCATTTGATTCTAGTAGGATTTTTAGCTTTTACCTTGAATTTTATTCTTGAATCTACATGTTTTGTAGCAACTCTCATATTATTTATGGTTAGATTTTTTAGAACAATGAAAATCAGTTAATGGAATGAAAAATTAGACAATGGAATTTTAGTATGGTATTGGAATTTGGATTGATCTTAATGCTTTTATCCATGTATGTAAATTGAATAGTGTTATCCTTTGGACAAAATTCAACTATTGCATATGCACAATCACAATGATCATGTAGAGGAAAAGAAGATGTTACATGGGAACATTGTGTTGAAGTTGAAGGCATGAAAAAAAAATACAATTAATGCTTGCATTGCTTAAAAAACTTATTAGGGGAGGACGAATAAATAGAATGAAACACCACCATGTTAGAAAAGATGAAGTTAAAAAATGAGATAAGGTGCCTTATGATGTTCGTTTCCAAATGCAAGAAAGTTTGAAGTAACTTGAAGAAATTAAAATATAAGCTAAAAATCAATGGGAAGATAACCTATTTGGTGATGCTAGTTTGCAAGAGGTTCCTACTCCACCTTCTCAAGCTAAAGGAAAAAGAATGATAACTTTTCTAGAAAAGGGTAGAAAAAATAAAAACAAGTGGGTTGCATCATTACTTTGCACTGAGGAAAATTCTTGGAACTTAGCGATCAGTTAGGAGTGTAATGGCAAATATAAAAGATAAATATCAAACTGATTTGGCTGTTACTTAGTTCTTCTTTGATAGTTGCATCCCTATAAGTGCCATTAATTCTCCATACTTTCACCCTATAATTAATGCTATTACCACAATTGGTCTTGGTTACAAAGGACCAACTTATCATGCTTTGATAACTAGCCTTCCAAAAGATTTAAAGAAAGAGATCTAGTTGTTGGCTAATTTTTATAGGAAAGTTTGGAAATAAACTAGTTATACAATCATGGGATGATGGTTGGCAAGATAAAAAATATAGGCAATTTATTATTTTTTTTTATTGTCCTATATGCTTTATCTATTTATTTATTTATTTTGACTTGTGCTCATTGTAGGAGTCGATCTCAAGGGATCTCATTTATCTTTCTTTTTCACGACTCTGATGTACTTAATCTCAACCTTCAATCGGTCTTGATGTTGTCACACCAATTGGCCATGCTTTTACTATTTCTTTTTTTCCTTTCTTTTTTCTTTTACTTATTAGCTTCCTTATTTTATTATGTTTCTTGTACCCAAGTTTGTATTATTTACTTGAATATCTTGCACCATCAAGCACCATTCTATCATAATATATCTTGATAAATGGTTTTTAATTGTCCTATATTACAAAAGAGCTCCAAAATCAAGGTCCTCCAAGTGTCTTCACAAGCTAAGAACACTTGGTTTTTCAATTTGAGTACCTTCATAAGGTAAGAGCATCTAATCTTACAGCCTAATAATACTAAGCCCAACTTATAAATATAATTCAAAACCCACTTGCATTATTTACTCTTTTTGCATGCTCTCGGCTTCAGCTTCAATCACCTTTGCCTGTTCTGTAAGTTGCCTCTTGAAATCAATTGGATTCTCAGCTCGGACCATTCTTCCTTTAGTTTCTAGTTGCCGATTGATGGCATATTGTTGCCAATTTTTAACTTGTTCAAACAATCTTGTATTTTCTTCTTCTGAATTACATCTTCAACAATAATCTCCTTTGAACATAGTCTTGATTGCCTAGTTCTTGAGAATTATCTTATCCCAATTATTTTGTAATTATGAATTAACGTTATTATACATCTTATTGTCCTCATTCAAAGTTATCCATGTTAGTATCATCTACTCTTTAGTTTAGGGTCACTTTGATTCATGACGTGCTTCTTCCAATTTTATCTTTAAAATAGCACTTACTTGTTGCAACATCTCTTCTTTAGTGAGATGAGGTTGATTTTCAGCTAGGATTCTTCTGTCAGATATCCTTAAATATGCTTAGGATCAATAAGTAGGTCTTTACCTCATTTTCTGGAAAAGTATCATGCTTCATTAGATCAAGAAATTGGAGCTAGGTGATCTTGCTCATCCTTTATACAAAGTAATTTGGTGTAGTGATATTAGTGTAAGCCTAAGAGTTACTCGTCAATTTGTTTCCAGGCTTCACGCACTTTGGCAATTAATCTTAAGGTACCTTGCTTCCCATATAAGAATTCAAATGTATGGAGTTAATAAGTGTTTGGAATGATTTAGGTTGACCAAGGTTGCCTTCTAACTAGTATAGGAGCATAGGACCCAGAGGAGAATGAATTTAAGGTAATTTGAAATTCTACATGCATGCTTTGGATCTAAGGGAATGGGTACCAAATTGTCCTTACTATCACTTACCCTAAGCTACCAAGGTCCTTAATCTTCTTCCATTACAAGTTACAACTGGAGAAGGTTCTACTGCGCTATGGGATTTTTGTGTGCTCATACAAAAATTACAACCTCTCGAGAGCAACATTACCTTGCACACTTTTAAAGGTGAAATCCTTTACTAAAGACCTTATGCATGACAATGCAATGGGTGCATATTATCTTTCCCAAATCAGCCATGTGTTGCATTGCCACGAAGAAAAAGAAAAAAAAAAGGGTAAAATAAGGAAATTGACAAAAAGTGAGAAGAGTCAAATAACTTAACTTTAGAGAAAACAATGTTTTTATTTCACTTGACTCCTAACAAGTGTCTCCAGTTGAGTTGTGAAATTGTCATAACATCCCTCTAGATGGCGAGGGTCTCGACATGGTATGGCTTTGGTTGAGTGGCCCAAGGTGAGTTGAATGATTATTGGAGCCACCACCAATCTTTTATTAAGGTGTGGTTGGTCACCCTTGTATTGCTTATTTAGAATAGGTTAAGTTTGGTCTATTAAACTAGAGTCAAGTGTAGGAGTATGGTTATATGTGGGGAAGGTATTCACACCTGCACAACACCTATTCTATGAATGGTACCAATTGACATTAAATTCTTCAACTGAGTTATATTAGTCGATTCATTGTATCTTTAGTTAATGTACTTAATCACTTAACTTCTTGTGAAGAAATTGAAATTTAATTATATTAGAAATAATTGTTGATATTAGACCTGGCAATTTTTTACTCAACCCGTTACCCCGCCCATTACCCGCCCGTTTAAAACGGGTTAGGGTCATACATTTATGACCTGTGACCCGTTAATGACCCGTTAGGAGAACCTAACGGGTCACGGGTCAATAACAGGTTGACCCATTGGGTTAACGGGTTGACCCATTGGGTTAACGGGTTTGACCCGTTTACCCGTTTGAAAATTTAAAATTTTTTAATTTATTATTTATTTATTTTGTTTTCCAATTCTCAATCCCACCTAAACCTCTAATAATTGATTAATATTCCCTAATTAACTAATTGATTCTCTTAACTCATCATCTTCTAGACGTAAAAATAATTCCACTCCACTCATAACTCACCTCCCGACCTTTCCTATTTTTGCTTGCCCTAATACTCTCAAAGACTCTAACTCTTCAAACTTCAAACTCTTCTCATATTTTTCAACATCCATAGTCCATACAGCCTTTGACTTTCAAGCTTCGACTCCACCTTTTCTCTTTAGTCTTTAATATTATCTCAAACTTAGATCTTAGTTTTATCAAATTACCGTTGCGTCCACTCAGCCCTTTCTTTTTTCCTCCTATGAGTTCGACAAGTGCTCTTTTTGTCACCAACTTTTCTCTCTAAATACTTCAAGGTAAGTTGTTTACTTATTTATGCTTTTTAGTTTTCTTCCCATTCCAAGCAAAAATTTTACTTGATTTTCTCCTTTGCTTACTTAAATGCATTCAATTGATTATTCTTTGAAAGCAATGACCAAAACAAATATGTTCCAATGGGGTTTGTGGTTTTTGGTTGTCATGTTACTACTGCTTTTTTTTTTTTTTCTATTGAGATTTATAAGTGTAGTGTTCTTGAATTTGATTAGCACTGCTTTTTGAAGGGAAATAAATAAGGTGATTCTGAGGAATTATAAATATGTATATATTGAATTAATGGAAAAAAATTATTTTTATAAGATGTTGAATTTCTTATTTAAATTTTTTGAATAATTTTCTTTGAATGATAATAAATACAAATTATAGAGAAAAAAA